ACGGGCGTGGAGCTGACACTTTGGAAATCCTCTCCGCGATACTCCACAGCCCGCCATGGTGTATTCACCGTCGCGGTTCCATAGACTGGGGACACATTCTTCCTGAAATGGGTTAGACCGTTCCCAGGCGGACTTATCGCATACGTCCTTGGAGCTGACAACAAGTCATATCTTGCGTCAACGCGTCCCTTCGTATTCATCACCGCCGTTCCGCTTGATTGCCCAGATGACTCCTCTTTTCGGCTTTCACTTCTTATCATCTGCCGCCATTTGTGCTCCCTGCGGAGGTTACATCGGCCTTGCAGAAGCGGGGCGAGTAACAAACAGCCAAGACATGGTATCTTCATGCTGTGATATGTTCACGACAGCGAACTGAGTGCGCGATCACTTGTATCGTCTCATACGACAATGTTGATTTTGGTGTTGTCGCATTTGATCGGCCTCGTTACCGCACTGCAGCTTCTTCCGCCTGTTTCACCACGCTACAGCAACAGCGATGACCTCGGCTTCTCTATCGGCACGGACGCAAGAAAGATATATATCGACAGAAGTTTCGCCACAAAGAGAGACTCCGAAGGTCTAACGCTCATACCGCCAACTGCGTATGAGTTTGCTGAAACATTCCGCACCGACATTTCCTCACTGTTTGGGGGTTCCTGGACTCTGGAGCAAGTAGACGACTTCCCACTCACTGGTATCCATATCGGCCCGATTAGAAACAGCAGTATCTCATTGACATACGAGAATGGCCAGCCTACAGAAGAAGGATACGAGCTTGAGGTTACCAATGGCACTGTATACATAGGCGGAGCAGGTGCGAGAGGCATGTTCTGGGGAACGCGCACCCTACTGCAGAAGCTCTTGATCGACAACGGCTCTCTCATTGCGGGTAGGATAGTTGATGCGCCTGCATACAGCACACGAGGATTCATGCTCGACGCGGGTCGTAAATGGTACGATAAGAACTTCCTGAAAGAGCTCTGCACATATGCCTCTTTCTTCAAAATGTCAGAGTTCCACTATCACTCTAGCGACAACTACCCCTTGAACCGTGGTCACAATGAGACGTGGCAAGACGTATTCTCGCACTTTTCGCTGTACCCGGAAGAAAATGTAGAGCTCCAGGCTATCATTCAGCGCCCAAACGAGACACTTTCACGTGTCGACTTCGAAGACTTTCAACAGCATTGTACACAACGTGGTGTCACCGTCATTCCCGAGATCGAAGCCCCAGGCCATGCTCTAGCGATTACGAAATGGAAGCCTGAGTTAGCGCTGGCAAAGAAGGACCTGCTCAACCTGAGCCATCCGGACGCAATCCCGACAGTCAAAGCCATCTGGTCCGAGTTTCTTCCATGGTTTCAAACGAAGGAGGTACATATTGGCGCTGATGAGTACGATTCAGATCTAGCGGACGACTACATCAACTTCGTCAACGAGATGACCGAATTCATCAACAGTACTTCTGGGAAGCGCGTACGTATCTGGGGCACTTACGAGCCATCCGAGAATCTCACCATCTCGAAAGACGTCGTAGTACAGCACTGGCAGTACGGTCAATCAGATCCCCTTCAACTCCAGAACGATGGATACGATATGATCAACTCGGAAGATTGGTGGGCATACATGAGTCTCAAGAACGACCACATGCCCATCCTTCCGGCGCCGTACCCACAGTTCTACAACAATACGCGCACGATGAACTTTGCCAACGTACCGGGATGGCAGTGGGATCCATCGCTCTACAATCCAGTTAACACCACAGAGCAGCTGGAGCCTGGTGCTAGCGGCAACAAAGGCGCTATTCTCGCTGCTTGGAACGATAATGGTGCGGATGCGACTACGCAGCTGGAAGCCTACTATGCGATGCGAGAGGGTATACCTGTCGTGGCGGCGCGTGCGTGGGCCGGTGCGCGAGGTGCGAAGATCGACCCGGACGAGTTGGCGGATAGCATTGCGCTCTTGGTATGTTCAGTCGAAGTGAGAAAGCAGTGTGTTTTGACCCAATAGCTAACACGACTTTTGCTAGGTAACTAAAGCTCCTGGACAGAACCTAGATCGCCGTTTTACAAGCACGAACATAGATGCACAAAGCTCAGCGCTGGTATCATGGACGCGAAACTCTTCCAGTGACAGCAACACGACGCTGGGCATGGGCTCATACGGACCACCATACACGCTGACCTTGAACGTATCCTCGTCCTTCATCTTGACCGGCACTGATACCTCGCTCTCTATCGCTACTATTCCAAACAACTCCAGCGGTAGCACTACGACACTCCTGTTCACCACATTCGATGGCTTCGAGTATCCTCTACGTTCCGTGTCGCCAAGTGATGGCCACGACACAGGACATCCGGGTCGTATATGGACCAACCAGACGACATCGTCACATGAGTCAGTGCCAATCACGCTGCCAGCAAAGTTGCGCATTGAGACCAATGTGTTGAGCGGTAGTCGGGTGTGGGTCAATGATACATTCGCGGGCCGATTCGAGGTGTTCGTGTACGGAGGCCGTAATACGCTGTTTAGTTGGAGTCAGATGGCGCTTGTTGCGCCGCTGGACGTGGTAGAGGGTGGTGTTGATAGTTTGATGCTTCAGACTGGCGTTGCGCTAAATGCGTTATAGGAGGATGTATGCAGTTGACGCGATATAGAAATTGCGGACACTATACACGATGTAATGAGATTTGGATAGACAAGCTTGATAGGCTTTGGGTCCTCGCATCAATGTTATTCACCCAGTAGCCTAAGCATGTTTTCTGTATGCATCTAGTCATACCAGGTCCATCAACTTGCTTTCGTCCTTCAATACGTCGCTGTTAACCGCCCGATGATATAATCCCCACTCATAACATCCTCATAATTTCTGCCCTTCTCGTATGTGCCCGGAATAGCCTCAATCTTGCGGTCGTAGTTCGGGTTGCAGAAGTAGGCTATCGAGTATCGTGGCGGGTATTCGTCCTTATCAGCATCCTCCGGCTTCGGCGGTGGCTCCATGACGCGATGCTTTGTTGACTTGATGGTGTCGTTCGACCAGCGTGCTAGTAAGTCGCCAGCGTTGACGACAATGGTGTCTGCGATGGGGGTAGCGTTGACGAAGGTGCCTTTGGGGGAGCGGACCTGGAGTCCGCCGCGGGCGTCTTGGAAGAGGAGCGTTATAGAGCCTGTCGTCGCGTCAGTCGAATCTCGTTACCGGTTCATGTTGAGAATCATACCGTAGTCGCTGTGCTCTCCAGCGCGCACTTGCTCCTGCCCATCGTTCCTCTTGAAGATGCTCTTCGACACGCCCGGGTAGTGCAGCAGCCTTAGTGTGTTGTCGCCCGCGTCTGTGAAGCCGTCAAACCATTTTTCATCGATGCCCATGCCCAGCGCAATAGCGCGCATGACCTGCATGTGCAGGTCCTTGCATGTCTCGAAGAAGCCCATCATCTGCTCCTTGAACTGCTTCGCCTCGTCATCCCCACTTGGCCACATGTTCGGCATCTCAGGCTGGTCGTCGCGTCCAATCTCCATGCTCTCCTTCAGATCTGGCACCAAGGCGCGCATCTCCGCTTCTGTGCCTGTCTCTTCCAACACTACCAGCTTCTCCCGCCCTTGTGTGACATAGCCGCGGTTGGCGGCAGCCGAGTACCATGCCAACTTGTCTTTTTGCTCTTTTGGTCGCGCGAAGAACTTGGCGGAGTGCGAGAATACGGTGGATACGGTCGAGGGGGATATGCCGTGGTTCTTTAGGTAGATGAAGCCGGCGTTTTGGAAGCCTTTGAGAACGGCGTCGGCGGTTTGCTTCTTCGCGTCGGCGTCGCCTGAGAGGAACACGGAGAAGTCGATGAGCTAAGCATTGTTAGGCGCTGATCGGAATGCCTGAGTGAATATGAAGTACCGGAATCTCCAGATCGTCCTGCGAGACGGCTGATGTGATGTTCGCCATGTCGTCACTCCTTGTCGCGTCGTTTCGGTCCGAGCTTGGAGGTGGGTGCAGAAGAACAGCTGCTATAAAGAGACACTCGCGCGATGGAAGGAGAGGCTTGAATATCAGGCGATTTACGCGTCAGCGGCCATCTCCGCCGTAGTTCAGCCATGATGGGACAGCTCGGTGGAGGCGGGGTTGTTGCCGAACACAGAAGGTGTACACGAGCGCGATAAGGCTAATGGTGGGGTCGCTTGGCTGGAACCTCAACACCATACGTGCATCGCGACATCCATCTACGCCTATCATACAGCTGTCTCGACGAGCTCGAGCTCGTCTCGTCTCAACTTGTCTTATTCATGCTCAAACTGTACTGCCCTCCGCTTAGCTGATGGCCCTGAGATGATCGCCTTGTCGCTGGTCGCACCGCCACTTTGAACCCGTCATCATCAATGCTGACATCGGTTGACTACCATACCAGGGAATCTTAGTTGATTGATCGCAGGAGCACACTTGAAACATGGCTCTCATTACAATATCGGCAAGGCGATGGAAGCGATCCTCATTTGCGTAGTTCGAGGCAAGATATCCAAACGACTACAGGCATGTTTTAGGTTACGGAAGAAGCATGACAGCTCAGCTTGATGCCTGTAAAAGAACCTTGATGGACACACCAACACATCCAAAACATACAGTGATGAAGGCACGGCAAGATACGGTTCCCATTCTCTCAGTGAAAAATTCGCGAGTTCATCAACGTCTTGCGATAGTATCTACCTTTCCTATGTCTGCTTTTCCGTCTTCTGCAGTCAATGAACATTGCCAGCAGCCTGTAACGAAGGATGCGTTCATTCCTACTTTCCGGCGATTGTTGGAGTGCTGTTCTAGGAATGAATTCACGCCGACATCCAGTATTGCCCGCCCATCTCTTTCACTGACGTATCCGTAACGGGCTAGATCTGCCAAGTAGCGCACTGAATCAATATTTTCGGACTTTGCGCCCTGGCAGTAGCTTCTACCAACGCTACTACAGCCATCGCCATCTATCTTTTCGCCGAAGCCTATACGCTACCGCCTTCCACGTTCCACGATGTCTTCTGTCGACCCTGACAACACACATCCCGAGGGCGAACACAGCGCAGATACTGCCGACCTCCCGATCTTCGGTCCGCCCACAGCGGAGGAGCTTCACAAGCAGCTCGAAGCACAAGTTTCAGAGAAGGACAAGCAACATCACGTCTTCGCTGCCGAGCTCGCCAAAATCGAACAAGACTACCAAGCCGCGCTCGCGAATAACGCCGATCCCTCTGCCGTCCGTCACTACGAAGAAGTCAAGCAAGCGCATACGGCACAGGGAGAGCAATGTCTCAAAGAGTTAGCCGAGCTCATGCAACAATGTCTATGCGCGCGCAGAGGAGCGACAGCTTATCTCAAGAAGAACAATCAAAGATTGAAGGCTCAGGTCCAGAGGTTGAAGGATGAAGCAAAGGAATGGGAGGCAAAACACGAAGAAGCAAAGAAGAAGAAGGAAGAGCGGGCGAGAGTTGAGGAGGAAAAGAAGTGGTGGCGGAGTCTGACAGCTGAGGAAAGGAAGAGGATAATTCAAGAGTGGAAGGCCGAGAACATCGTTCTGCACCAGCAAAACGCTGTTTTGGAGAAGAAAAACGCTATTCTGACTGCTAAGCTGAAAAGGATCGCCGTTCTGAGGAGGAAAAAGGCCGTTCGGGTGGTTGCGCAAGAAGCTTTGGAGATCGAGAACGAGGTCGTGGAAGCCAGAAACAAGATTGAGGACGCCCATATTGCACGCTGGGACGGAATATTCGACTGGCACGATGAAGCACTCTTGAGGTACTGGGTTTACAAGATGCTTGAGGAACTTGGGATGCGTTACTGAATGATCGGCTCTTCTAAGTGCTGTCTGGCTAGGGGGGAGGGGGCTTGAGGGATGCGCGTGTTCATACAAGTCAAGATGAGTGCAGTACATGGTGGAAGGATAGGTCGTAGAGATAAGTAGGCGTTGGGATTAGGTCAATTGCAAAGAAAATCCTTGAAGGCGTCTCTTTTTCACCGTTCTCACCGACCCGGCTTGCGTCTACATTGTCTTAGAGAGGAGTGTTTCTACATCTGTAGCATCGTAGTCAAGAGTACATTCCTGAATTGCAGGTTCGACAAATTGCATTAAGCACCTTGTATGTGCCCGGTGATGCCTACTGATGTTACAAGGTCAATTATCACGTATCAGTACTCTTAATCACATTATAGAATGTGTCGAACGAAATCGCACCGCGTGTTAATTATGTCAGCTATCTGGAATAAATGAATTCAGGTATTTGTTGTCTGCACCGCGGTCCGTTGATCGAGACCTTCCAGCTTTGCTAGCAGTTTATCCAAATTGATGCTTGCCTGCAAATTAGAACTCTGAGATCCAATGCGAGGCTCATCAAGAAGTGCACCACCAATGTCTCTGATCTTCAGCACAGTGCTATATCCTTTAGCATCAAATACATCATCTGGTATATTGTACAGGACGTCAAGAAACTCATTCACCAGCGATGTCGCTCATCGATGATAAATCTGAAAACCCTGTGGCTTACATTGACGCCAGATCTTCTAACCTGCTTGATTCATCCCTACCTAATCTAGTCTTCAGACCTCTTCCTCAAGTCCGCGCACAAGGCACGGATGTCAATGAAAAGGTGGGCCGTGAGTGAACCCGATAGCCGATACCATACTACTTGTCTTCCTTTCAAGGCCTTGTCTCATTGGTAAGAGGGTGGCAGAGAAAGGTAAGCAAGGCATTAGTCCGACCCTCACGCAGCTGGAGAAGGCTGTTACACACGTATACGCAACCCGAAGGCCAGGCGCTCCTCCAGAAGCCACTCAGATGCCGGGCAAGCCCAAAATCTGATAAGTATTTCGTCCAGGATCGAGCACATCACCGAAGTGATGTAACCCTAAGCAACGAGGGGATCTGACTACCGCGCCGGACGGTCGCAATCATCATCAGTTCGTCGTTCTCATACCGTGCGCAGGTCCATACAAGTAGCGACGAGGCGCACCAGGGGCTCTGGCAGTGCTCGAATGCGCTTGTATTGGTCTGCGTAACTGGGTGAGTGGCGTCTTGTCGAAATCCGTTTTCTCATCGGTCAACCAGGAGACTGTTTCTCCTAACTGGGCGTGTATACACAACCAAAGCTATGAAGAAGAAAAAGAGAGAGTCGGGGACGGGACAGCGGGACTATATAGCTCTAAAGACTGGGCACGCTAACAGCTACTCACGTGATGCGCTGGCTTTTGCGCTGGCTTTTGCGCTGGCTTTTGCGCTGGAGCCTGGAAGGTGACGCAACTGGTGGTGAAGGTGAACGTGAATAAGGGCTAGGCCCTAAATGGGTCATTGTCGGTGCCCACGCACGTCATACTCAACAAATGCTCGAGATAGCCCGACCAGCAAACATACCAGCCCGCGACCTACCGAGACGACGACTGGTCCCCCTGCATCAGCGACACGCGAAAGTGTACTCAAACAGTATTCCTGTATACCCGATAGGCGTCCGCCACTTCAACCCATCATGGTCGTAACCCGAGAACAAGCACTCGAGAAGGAGCTGCGAGACATCACTCGGGCACTTGAGAAAGAGAAAGAAGCACACACTACAACCATACAAGAATTGGGCAGAACAAGGTCGATTCTGCAAGAGGTGAAGCGCACAAGCAGGGCGGAAAGAGCTGATTTGGAGCTCATGACCTTGAAGTGCGCACTCCTACAACAAGACGCGGAAGGCAACGCAGAGAAGGGAGTGGTTCACACAGATGACAAGAACCTGCGAGGCATGTTACCCGATGCACCAGTACATCCCCCAGCAAAGTACGGAGCGCGTTCGATCCCTCCTCCGAGTGACTTCGACCGCTCACTTCCGCCACATTCTGGTCCCGAAAACCACCATGGCGAGCGTTCCGATCGTCTGGGGGACGACATGACTGCCCGTTCTACGCGTGGTACGAAGCGCACTGTCGATGAGATGAAGTAAGTGTTCGACAACATGTCAGAACGAGCCCATATTAATCGCGTCACAGCTCAAACAGTCCCAACGACACCCCGGCAGTGTCAGAAACCCTCTCGGGCCCCGTAGTCATATGCATCAGATGCTATCAACAAAAGCTTCGCTGCGATCCTGGAGAGCCCTGCCGGAATTGCGCCACAGCTGTACACTTGTGTAAGAGAGCCAAGTGCAACGACTATGAACCGGGAGCCTGTAAGCGGGCCAGTTGCCTGAGAGCACATCGAAAAGACGGGGAGATATACAAGAACATCGTTCGCGCTGGACATGTCCCGAGAACCGACCCTTCCAAGCCAAGGATTCCTAAAGCGAAGAAGCCGCGGAAGGGCAATGACGACGATGATGACGACCCTCGGAGTGGTGGCAGCCGTATTCTTGTTGGTCGTCCGGTGTAGCATGTCCCACGAGCGCTGCGAGCATATGAGGACGAAGGATTGGAAGCATCAGGAAGGAGCCATTAGTGGCGTCGTTAGCGTCGGATAAATGAGTGCTGGGCCTACATGTACAGTCTCGAAGAGAGCGAGAATGACTATTGATAGACAATGGTGGCATGCATATGGTAGATACAGTACTACATTCGTCATAACCGCGCTCCCCTACAACCCCAATCTTCTACAAGGGTATCACATTGCGCCTCCAATACATCCTATAACCTACACCCTACTCCACGACAAGCCCTTAACTTCTCTTCATGCACCGCTCCCACGCTGTTACATGCTAAACTCCGCACTTTGAGCAGCCTCAACGCCACCGCGCACATGCGAAACACCACCCCAATGCATGCGCTCAACTACTACATGCCGAAAATCTTCACCACACTTTTACGGTGCCCTTACCACCTTCCTACCCGTAACCTCATAACGCTGCAATTCTTGGAGAATCTTCGGGGAGTCGGCAAAGTCGTAAACCTCGACCTTGGGTGTGATCTTGCCCTGCAAAGCCATCTGCAATAGCTCATCCATCTGCTTGGCGCTACCGGTTGAGGATCCTCTAATGACAAGTCCTAAACTCGTTAGCACTTTTCAGGTCAACAGTAGTGCAAAGACATACCTCTATTAGCGATATGAATCGGGCTCATAGGAAACATGAACGTATCCGGTGGAAGCCCGACACAAACAAACACGCCACTATTCCTCGCCAAAGCCGGAGCTTGAAGATACGCCCTTTCGCTGCCTGCAACACAGATCACACCATGCGCGCCTTCTCCATCTGTCAGATCTCGAACTGCTTGCAGTACGTCTTGCTTGGCGTAATCCACAAAAGCTACCGCGCCCATCTCCTTGGTCAGCTTCTCTTTCTCAGCACCGCTGTCAATCGCAATGACTTTGTATCCCTTGATAGTAGCAATTTGCACACCGATATGTCCAAGGCCTCCTCCAGCACCGATGATAGCGATGAAGTCACCGGGGTTGACCTCAGGCGTGAGTTTCGATACGGCGCCCGCAAGGCTGAGACCTGCGCAAAGGAGTGGTGCTGCGATCTCGCTCTTGACTCCCTCAGGGATCATGGTGACGAATTCCGCATCCGCCACCACGTACTGCTGTAGAGTACCCCATACGCTTCTTCCGGTATTCTTCTGCTTGGCGCAATGGTTCTCCTTGCCTTGTTTGCAGCTACTGCACTCTTTACACGCGTTCCACAGCCACTTTATGCCTACTCGCTTTCCCAGCAAGTCTTCCGACACTCCCTGACCGATCGATACGACGGTTCCCACGCCCTCATGACCGGGCACTTCGGTGTATTTCCCGGGCGAGACGAGATTATGGCAGTCGCTGTGGCATATGCCGCTGTATTCGAGCTTTACGAGGAGTTCGCCGGCCGAAGGGGATTGCACTTGGACGTCATTTCGGATTTGGAGGACGCAATCGGGACCGGGGTCTTGGATCCAGCCTGCGGTTTGTGTTTTGGGGATTGACTCGGTCATTTCGTCGCGTTCAGGGGGGTGGGGTTTTGGTGGGGTGCTGCTTTGCGATCGGCGCTGTTATTTCGGGATAAGGAGATGGCTGTAGCAAATAGGCAATGAGGGGGGCGTTTGTGATTGAAGCAACTGCATACGCGCACAATAACGAACAGAGTTAAAAAGACGACGAATTACCGATAAGCAATGAGACCGGCGGCAACAGTATCATAAGTGGTGACGGTACCCCGCGGCAGCCCCACCATCGGCCTTCTCCGACACTACCAATCGGAGCGCGTCGACCTCCGCATTTTGGACGCGGCTGCCTCATCCGGCTGAACATCACTTGTGCCACTTTTCTAATTTCTTCAGTTTTTTTGAGGATAGATATTCAACACATAGATGCCGACGGGAGAGGTCGTTGGTCAAATGGCGGGGATCTTTGAGAGGGCGCGCTAGGGTCCGTGGAAAGCTTCTGATGGTGATCAGATAACTACAAGATTGGTGACTTACTTCAATGACTTTCTGAAGGTGGCACTGTTTCACCCGTCATTACACCTGCATCATATCGCTGCTGTGCGATGCCATCCTTTCCCATCGAGCAGACACAAATCGGTCCGCAGCGAGAGAGTTCTTAAGTCTCCTCTTCCTTAGGCGCCACCACTTTGCTTCCGTCCTCGAGGCTCATCTTAGCAAGCATCTCATTGACGCTCCGCCCTTCGCCCTCTCCTGTCATACCCTCGTTATCCTCCCTTCTCTCAATCTTCGGTTCGCCTTTGTTCTCCATAGCTTCTTTGTCTTTCTTCATCTGGACAACAGCCCAAGAGTAAGACATGCTCTTCATCCAATTGACGGAGCCTCGCTGTCTTGGTACATAGTTGCCATATTTGTCCTTCGTCCTCCACTTATCCCACAACATGTGGAGCAGCCCTTGGGAACCAGGCTCGAGGATTTGCAAGTGTTCTATCTCGTACCATCCGATGAACTTGAATGATCGGCTACCACGCCGGACAGGCTGAGAGAAGACGGCAATTGGAGAGTAGTCGATAAGGACTCTCTCGTTGGGGTGATCTGATAGCGGCTCAGTGGTGGTGGGCTCCGGTGTTCCACTCGATGAACCCTCCTCGTAATCCTCGTATGCGACTTCGCTGCTCGTTGGTAGCATGACACCGCCGTCCTCACCAGGCTCGTCTAGTCGTTGGGCGGGTACTGCGACGGCGATTACTGTTCTAGGCTCGAAAGGAGGTGTGGCTACCGTGAGAAGGTTCAGGTTGCTCTTGACAAAAATGACCCCGTCCTCGTCCCACTTCGGGTTCGCGCCATTGAACAACAGCACCCACGATAGACCGTTTGGATTTGCCGCCGAGGAATGGAGCGTAGCGTTATGCGCATCTTCGGCGACGGCTTCCTCTCCCCAGAAGTAGGTGTGTATTTCCTGGACAGTGTACAAGTCGTCATCGGACCGTTCTTGCGACTTCCAGCTGGGCACCGCCGATGGTATTGCGACGGGTGTCGTTGGCGCTTCTGACATCGCTGTGGGTTCTACCTTCTTCCGAAGGTGTGGCGGTACGTAGACGCTTTCCATCTTGTCGTTGCTGTTCGCGGTTGGGAGCGGTGTCGAAAGGCTGTGCGACGAATGAATTGCTACGCGTCATATCATGGCCCCACTTCACCACGTGGGCACGCGCCTCCTCCTCACTCCTCCCCTTCACCAAACGGATCAAGTCGAGTTGCAGACTACATGAGGTCGATCGAAAGCGAAAGTCTCAATAATACGGGTGCGTGGTAGCTTCACAGGTTTTTGTTGTGGATTATAGCAAGGTGTTGGTAGTCTGACTATCGCCATGCTACTTGATCATCACTGAGATGTACCTGTGGAAAGACCATGTAGTCACCTAGATAATTCCTGATTCTGAGCTCCTTTCTCCTTGCTACCTTTCTCGGTTCAAGTGGTGAATGCGAGTTCGATGTGAAAGTGACTGAGGATATCACCATCTAGTAGATAGTAAACTTCGAGCGGTTCTGAATCAGAATTGCAACCTCTCACACAACCGCAATACCAAAACCTCTTCGCGATCAAAAAGCATTCCTCTTTACGCTACTAACCATCAAAAGTAGTATACAATGTCCCCACCACAAGCGCAAACGGGCGAGCCGACCAATCTCGCTCACCAGATCTTCACCAAGACCGTTCGCTCACTACACCTAGACCGCCTCGCCCCACCCCGATTCCCTCTCCCCCACCCAATCACCATAACAATCACACCACCTACTCCAACTCCCTCTCCCACACCCTCACTCTCCAACATGTCTTGGACCACCATCGAGCTCTCCAACTACCCACCAAAGCTCACCCACCGAGACGTGATCTTACTCTTCCAAGACTTCACGATTTCGCCTGACTTCGCGCTCCCCAACTTCAAGAGCCTCGCTTATCCGCTACGCACACACATCAAGATCGCTGGAGAGGGGGAGGCTGAGCGCGCGGTACAAGAGCTGTGTTGGAGCAAGGTGGGCGGCCGCCAGATCAACGTGAGGATGGTTGAGAAGACGGGTCACGAGGAGAAGGAAGTCGCTGTTGCGGACGTGGCTGATGAGATGAAGATTGGTATCCTCAGTACGTTGTTACATTGTCACTTCATTGATATCAAATTAACACAATCAGATACTGCGCGCGTCTACAACCCGCACCTCGCCCTCAAGGTCCTTGAGATCCGCGAGTGCATGCAGGGTACATCCAACTTCGCCTTCCTGCAAGCTCGCGATGTGGTCACAGTGTACAGCGAGCCTGGGGTGCATGTGCAGCCGGTTGACAACAAGGCGAAGTGGGAGCTCGTCATGGCTGGTCGCTCCGAGGGTTGGAACTGGAAGATGAAGGATGGGAGTGGAAGGCTTGCTGCGCTGAAGGATCTGCAGGATACGATGGAGAGGCAGGGTGTTATGCGAAAGTTGTGGGGTCAGTGGGAGGGTAGCAGTGTGCTAGACGTTGTCCAGAGGTAGCTTTGGAAATGGAGTGGAACATGAACGAGAATTTGTATATTGAACGCTCGGGATCTCAAGGATAGCTATGAGAAATCGTCGAGACGAATACTACTACATGACATGACGTCCAGTTGAACTTCATCAGCTGTGTAAACAATCGACGTCTTAAGAAGTACCCTGATGTTGGAGAGTTCCACTTCGTCTGAAGATCTTGCTTCCTGAGTATGCTGCTGGTACCCTTACGCAGGAACAGGCAACACGATCTTGCTGTTTTTCCGAAGTGATAAGATCATGTCGACAGAGAATGTCGGATACTCTCTGAGCAAGATAGACGCTTCCTCGTCTGTCGCCAGCCATGACATATAACGATTAATGATATGCGCAGTGATGCAACCGCTCATCGAATTACCAACCGTGATACAGGTATCGTAATGTTTGCGGATGATACTGCTTAACTGTGGGCCGCTCAACCACGCCTTCAGTAGATTTTTGCTCAAGGTTCTGGTGACATTCGTGCACAGCGCTGGAGCATCGTACTTATCGGCGAGGGCGTAAAGCTCGAGCGGGTCTAGAAGGTACTCCTGGATGTCTACCGCTGAGGGTGCGTCTTTGGTGCCTCCGCTGAGCTCGCATATCGGTCCCAGCTTGTCTCCTGGGGTGTAAAAGAACCGCAACATGAGCTCGAAGCTATCGGGGTCGTCGTCGTTCATTTCGATAACATCAGCAGTGGCCTCCTATATCTAACCGTCAGTTCATGCGCCCTAGTTGTAAACTATCAAAGCATCTACCTTGAATTGACCAGTGAAGGCCCGCATGAACCACTTGGATTGTGCACACAAGATGGCTTTGTGCGCAAAGTACTCCTTGGCGTTGCCTTTGTAGATTTGGCGAATCTTGACGTCGGAGAGGGTCGAGTCATTGAAGAGCCTGTGTGTTGCGACATGTCAGCGTCAGATTTTTGCAATGCACAGTCGTGATACATACGAGACTTCTGTGGTTGGCGAGGGCGAACCCATACCGTGTTTCAGTATACGGCTCTTATTTCGGTCGAGGTGCAACGGCGCCAGACAAGACCATAGGGTGCTGAACATCAGAAGAGGTAGTCTTGATAGCAAAGAAATCGTTGAGGATTCTAGCGGTAGCGCCGGGGCAGGTGAGTGGTGAGTGTGACAGAGTGGGAGGGAAAGAATCGCTGCAATCTTAGCCGAGTGCGAGTGCGCTAGTAGTGAGAACATGCACATTGATAAAGCAAGGAAGGACAAGCATGATTCAACTACATTTTGGTTCCTTTGCCTTGCCGTGGTTTGATGAGTTCTGATCACTATAATCTTGCGAGGATCAATACATTTACCCGTCCGCACCTCTCAGATCAAATATATCTTTCCGACAAAGCGGACAGTCATGAGCTCTCGCATATGCCCCGTTGACCTGCTTCGACAGACAATCCTCACAGAACATGTGGTTGCAGGCAATAAGTCGACGCATGCTCCGTTGTGGCTCGAGACAAATGCAACATTCCGTATCCACTACGGTCGAAAAGATGTCCAAATTGATATGAGTCGCCAACCCTAGTGTGGGCATGGACATGCTGGTTTCCGACGGGATGTTCGAAGGATGTGGCATATAGAGAAGAGTCTGCGAGATCGTCAGAGAGCTGATCACTACGTCCGCAGCTGGCTCGTTGTCGTGTAATTCTTGGTTGTCTGGCATATGCTCGGCACAATAGTACCGGTCAAGCACATTACTTTCGTAGAGAGTCCCAACACGCATACATCGATGTGAATTTCCAGTAGATTGACCTTGTGGTCTCCCAACGATGGCTTCGCAACGGTTTGCATGTGAGTCGCAAAACCATTGCTGACTGTCGGTGTCAACGCAACTGCCACGTCTCCAGCCATCCTCCGTACACAATGGAAGCCCCAATCGCGTGTCCCCGATGCAGTAGCCGCACAGCCAATTATCTGAGAAGGCGTAGTATATGAGAGCCGGGTTCAGGCAGCCGGGGAACCATTCGCAGACGTCGGGTCGGGTACGCATATTGTAGATGATGGTTTTGAAGTATCCAAGCCCACCAAGGTAGATTAGGATGTAGCGGCGTATTTTCGAGTGTAAGTATTTCAAAGTGATGACTGACTGACAAACAAAGGGTTTCGCACGGGAGAGTTGACAAAAGGCAGGGTCTTGAGGCTGAAATCCGACGTAGCATCTATCACTGCAGTCGCTGCAGTCTAGCCATTCACTCTTTTCGGACATCGTGGCCGACGGTCAGAGCTCATTCGAAGCTAACAATGTCCCTGCAGCAGCGAAGGCGGTCGCGAGGTCATGTGTCGTGATTGACGTGCAGTAACACTTCCGCAATGTGCATGCGACAAGTTTGGTTCATGGTTGAGTGGCAGGCGCGCTCGTGAGGACGTGACCTCGGGATGCATCGACCTGCGTTCTCTTAGCGACTGCTTCGTAGTCAATAACCCGTAGAACGCGAACACAATGCCACTGCTCACGTGTCAAATGCGCGTTAAATCCCACATTATCCTATGAAAATATAAAAGACGCGTCAGAGTCAGAGTAATGCCAGCGCATCGCGTTGTGATGATGGGAATGACGGAGTAAGAGTGGTGGTTCGTGGCTCGACCTGAGCGCGCCCTGCTATGACGTCACCACCTTCCACGTCTCCATAACACTGAGAACAAATCCCTAAGGTGTCAGCAAGTTGCGACCTCCACGACCCTTTGTCGATATGGAATTCGATGTAATATGATGGATATCAAAGGCCTGGCGATATGACTACCAGGCTGCTGGTGATAGTTGCCCAGCCGTGTCGTGGAATGAGTGCACCGCAAAAGTTGGGCCGGTAGGTGTCCGGGTCTGCTGTCGACTAAAGAACATATGGAAGCACGTGTTGCTTGGATAAGTAATATTAGACAATCACTTAGTGAAACGATGAAAAAGACAGCATGAACGTCTGTAAGCGGCAGAGATGAATTTGATTCGTGGATGAATACATGCTTCCGCAAAGTCCAAACTGACAAGCACTAGGCGTTGAGCCCTCAACTACGCACCAGCCTAGCAAGAAGTCGATAAATGCACTCTTATTCAATCAGGCATAGGGAAGGAAGAGTGAGCCTTCCACAGGCCTCACAACCCGCGGTGCTCCTGCTTCTTCGTTGGGTGCTCCCAACCTTGCGAGTGTAGTCCTATCCTCGTAAGCCCATAGTGGCTCATCATCGTATCTGACACTCGTTGTGCTCGACGTGCTTGGCGAATCCAACACAATGCACCTAGCCTCTTGATTGTGTTGCCAATCTCGCCATTGGTATTCCCTTTGGATCATCCTCCCCGACGCCGCACGGAAATTTTCCCGACAAATAAGCTTGGGTTTTGGGTGACAATTATTTCGTGTCCAAAGAAGCTTGGCAGCAGCGACAGGTAGAGCTGGGTAGAAAAGGTGCCATGGTGTCCCGGGCTTGTCGGCGACATCTTCTGTTCGTGCCATAAAGACTGCGATGGGCGACTTGGGTATGTGATTGGAGAGTCTGTTGGCGATGAGGTTTTGCGCGTCGTGCAGCGAGAATGCATATATATAAGTGAAGCCGGTGGAATTCGTATAGCGGGAGAATTCTTTTGGACGGGGTGGCGGCAAAATCAATGATAGCGAATTGCTTGCACTCTCAACCGGAGCTGCGTTATGTATGTTTGCATGAGGATTGAGGCTATCCATGTTTTGGCGATGTGATGTGCTATGGTGGTAGAGGTGCGACGTTCTTAAGTTTGAGGTATTTCGCTCGTTTTTTTCTACTTGCACGCGCTGCCTGCCGGATATCGGGGTATGAATAGCGGTTGCGAAGGCGCGAGGCCTCGAGGAAGCCGCATTGAACGCTCAGAGGAAGGCGACATCGATGGACAATCATCCAGTCAAGTTCACCGACAGCACTGGGACCAGTGCGTGTACAAATGAAACTGGGATAACCTGGAGAAGTTTTGAAGGTTTCATAGGCAATGATCCACCGCAAGGATAGCGTCTCTTTATTCCGACGCCGTTGCAGTTCGGCCGTAATGCGGGATGAGGTTCCACGATCTGTCGTCCCACGTATGCAGACAGCCGCGGCCGGTCGTGCTTGGCAGGAACGACTGGCTAGATTGGTGGTCGGATTGATTTGGTCGGAAAGCCGTTTGGCCTAACACCACGGAAACACATAGTCATGCCAGTGCAAGTCTGTGGCACGTGAGCGTGACTCAGCCAGCACGCAGATGTGTCGTTGGGTGACAGTCGCGTGGCAGGAGCGTTTAAGCTCCTTCCCGGTACGCGGGTGGGTCTTGGCGATGCAGGGATGCTGTGCCGACGAAGCGTGGGAACCTGGAAATCTGACGGCATCAGCACAAGACACCAAGCGAAGCAAATACGGAGCCCCGCAGAGCGTCTGGAGAGGGCCTACATCGAGTTTGCTAGATCGCGATCCTCCTGTTCGCCCTGAATTTTTCACTAGTCACAGCCGCTACGACCCAGCGACGCGATCCGGGCCTGCCGCTTTGGCCGCTTTCATCTGCCCCGACCGTTAAGTCCGCGCTTTCACCTACGTACACCCTCGCCCTCGATGCAGCAACCCTCGTAGCCCTGCGCCCGCGCTCCCTTCGATTATGTTCCGCCAGTCGACGCTCCCATCACTCAGGCACGTCGCGTGCACTCGCGACCACCTCGTTCGATAATCCTCGACTCGGTCAATGGCATACGGTTGAAGCAGCATCATGGCGCTGCCAACCCTCCAGTTCCTCGCGGGGCTCGTGCTCCTCATATACCTGCTCTCCTTTGTCCTATTCGCCTTTATACGCATAGCCACCGGCGTCTCCATACAGCGCCTGGGCTTACGGGGGCTGCGACGCATCGCCTTCACGCCCAAGGATGGCCTGCGCATCGAGATCCGCGGACTCGGCTTCACCCTTCATCGACCCACATTCGCGCAACCCACGGTAGTCAGCATCGTTCTGCACGAGCTCAAGGTCACGGTCGACCTCAAAGCGCTGGGAGAGAAGCCGCGGAAGAAGACGGGATGGGCCCATTGGGCAAACGGCACTACACAAAAGGGCAAGAGCGGCCAGAACACGCCCGAGCCCGTGGCGGAGGACGACGAGCTGGGCGACGACGAGACACCGCGAAGCCTGACGTGGAAGCGGCTGACAGATGCCAAGGAGAAGATCAAGCGTCTGCACCGGAACATCAACTGGCTCAGGCAGGTCGATGTCGTGGCGCACGCGACCACTCTGGTCGTAGTCGATGTGGGCTCCATCCAGGTCGGCGGCCTCAATCTCGCAGTCGACACACGGCGCAAGACGGTCGATCGCAGTCGCCTCTTCAACCACCACAAGCCCAAGTCCGACGAGGAGCAGTGGCCAGCCGAATGGCTCTTCTCCGCCCGCAGCATCCTGTTCACGCCGGAGGGCAGAGAATCGACCGAACTCCTGGATCACTGCACCCTCAACGTCCACGGCTTCCTCAAGAAAGGCCTCGAGGGTCTGCGCGATGCATCTATCGCACTCAAGCTGGGTCGCCTCCTTATTCCACTCGACGATGTCAAGCTGTGCATGGAAAGGGCGCAGAAGTGTCGCGCGCCTGTCCCTCGGAAGCGATCTCGTGGCAGTCGGACACACGTATCGCTCAGCGATGTGATGGAAGAGCTCGACGACCCCAACAGCCGCGAAGAAAACCTCGTCCGTACCGTATCCGACTCGCGTGAGTTCGCCAGCTCCATCCTCCGCGGTATCCATGAATTCCAATTCGCGATTGGCTTCCTTGGCCTCACCAAGCAGATCGAAATGGGCCACAGCTCCGAGCCTCCAGTCTACCTCAACCTATCCATGAAGGAAGTCGGCATGGACCTCCTTCGCCTCGATCCCCGCAGTCCCGCGCATCTCATGTACTTCTCGCCCGACGACATTGCTCACCAGGCTCTACTTGCCGCCATATCCATATCTGTCGGAATCGACAATAGCGATGGCCATCCTGAGCGCCTCCTATACGTTC